TGCTAAAGTTTGAGAACCACAGAACTGGGTGATCTCAACTATCATTTATTGAAATCCTTCCGACTCCAGGAAGGCTAGTCCATACTGCCTTTATTCCTTCACCAATGTTTATTGAACTAAGTATATAACAGGCTGTACTGTACTGTACTGTTCAGGTACTGGGGAAACAGTTGTTGTTGTTGTTATGTGCCGTCGAGTCAAACCCGACTCATAGCAACCCCTCCTTGGGTTTCCGAGGCAGTATCACTACGGAAGTAGAATTGCCCAACCTTCCTTCCGAGGAGTGGCTGGTGGGTTTGAACCGCCAGCCGTCTGGTTAGCAGGCCACTATGCTACCAGAGCTCCCGGGGAAACAGTAGTAGAGCTAAATAGGCAAGATCCCTGCTCTCATGCAGTTTCCATTTAGAGGAGAGAGACATGTCATAGACAGGACTGTGAGAGGAATGATACAGAGACTTAAAATTGGGTGATGTGATAGAGAATGTGTGATAGTCAGGAAAGGCCTTTCTGAGGAAGTCAAGTATCAGCTGAGTTTTAAATGACAAGGCAGAGCTAGTTATGGGAAGATAATGTCAAGCAGAGAAACAGCTAATACAAAGGCCTCTAACATAGGAATGGATTTGGTGTATTTGAAGAAGGCCAGCGTAGCTGCAGTGTACTGGGCAAGGGGAGAGAGAAGTATGAATGAAGTTGGAGAGGGAGGCAGAGGCCAGATCACATAGGACCTTGTATATCCTTGGAACCTTGAGTGATTTGGGAAGCTTTGGGGAGGTTTTAAGCAGAGTTCTGACATAGCCCGAACTTTAAAATGAAAAGATTACTGGCCACTAAATTGAGATCTGATGATCATAGAGGGGAGCAAAGAAGGAAGCAGGGGGCTCAGTTAGAAAAATATTGTAGTAAAAGGGGTGAGATGATGGTGGTCTGTCAAGGATGGAAGTGCTGGGGGTAATGAGAAGTGTTGAGATCTGGACATCCTTTGATGGTACAGTCAACAGAATTTGATGATTGGGTGATTGTGACATATAAAACAGGTAAAGGAGTTAAGGATGACTGCTTGGTCTGCATAACTGGTAGATTTCAGGAAATAAGGTTTGAAGAAGAAAAGCATGGGATGTTAAGTCTAAAGTGCCTTTTAGAATGCCAAGTGGGGATGTTTGAGTAGGCAGGTAGAAAAAGGAATGAGGAGTCAGGGAAGTAGTCACGTTGGCGATATGAATTTGGGGCTTGTCAGCATTTGTATGAATATTAAACCCATGAGACTGAATGAGATTATCTGAGTAATGAGTGTAGATAGAGGGAGGCCTAGGACCAAATTTGAAGGTAGGAGGGCTTGCAGTAAGATGGACTTAGCAAAGTAGCAACCAGTAAGGTAGGAGGAGAACCTGGAAGGACGATGTCCTAGAAGGCAAGTGAAGAAAGTATTTCAAGAAAGAGGGCAAATTGATCAACAACAAATGCTGCTGAGAGGTTAAGATGAATGCCAAGATTTGACTGTTTTAGCACAATTTTAGCAATGTACAGGTCATTGGTGATCTTGACAAGCTGTTTGAGTGGTGTAGTGTGTTCAGAAGCTTGGCTGAAGTGTGTTAAAGAGTGAGAGGAGGAGAAGCTGCAAAGAAAATGAGTATGGACAATGTTAGGACAGATCTGCTGCCACTTAGGGGTAGCAGGTCTGTACAAAAACACCTTAACATGGTACAAGGTAATGGTTGGTGTTCTAGTGTTTTAAAATTTGGTATGTAACATCTTTGATTGTTCAAGTTTTTAATTTCACTAATTAAAATGGGTAAAAATACAGTTAAAAGTAGAAATTCGAGTAAAAAATGTGTGGAACCACTGAAGAACCTCTATAGAGTCCTAGGGTCCTATGGAACACATACTGAAAACTGTTAACTTAATCCAAAGGAATGAAATTCTGAGATGAAATTTAGCCAGTCGCAAAATAGGCTTAAGAAAGATATTTTTAGGTTTTAGAGGGAATCTTCTGAATGCTCCTCAGATTGTAATACTTATTATTCATGAAAGTGTAGTCACACTTTAAGATCATTTGAATGAAAGGGATGTTTCCATATAGTATTTTCTGCCATTTTAAATGTATTTTTCACAAATATTTTATGGCCAAAGGATGCTGATGTTGCAGGTCATTTTGTTCCCTCTTGTAGGGAAAGAAGAGTAAAGAAATAAAATTAAGGCCCTGTCAAAACTTTGCTTTGTTTTATTTCTTGTAAGTAAGGCGCTCTGATTTAGTGTCTAACTTTTTTTATATAACTGTTTGACCAGGTATAATTTAAGTACCTTGAGTTTTATGGTACTTTTCTCTATGGCACTTATTTAACACAAAAGCCCAAGTTTCTCTTCAGTGAAAAACGATGATCTTTCACAAGGGAAATAAGTAGATTACTGATACATGAACAAAATTTTCTTTTTACTCAGAAGTAAGTCATAGGAATATTACCATATTTTATTGAGCCTAAGATGTCATAGATTATACAAATAAATAAATAAACAAACACACTGCCGTCAAGTCGGATCCGACTCATAGCAAATTCTCCTTGTGTTTCTGAGGTGGTATCACTATGGAAGTAGATTGCTTAACCATCCTTCTGAGGAGTGGCTGCTGGGTTTGAACCGCCAGCCTTCTGGTTAGCAGTCTACTGCCTTAGGCACTACGCCACCAGAGCTCCTCATAGATTATAAGATGTACCATATTATGGATTACTAAGAAACAAAAGGGGTATTGGTGGTTCAGTGGTAGAATTCTTGCCTTCTATGCAGAGACCTGGGTTCAATTCCTGACTAGTGACCTCATGCATGATTACCACCCATCTTTTAGTGGAGGCTTGCATGTTGCTATGATGCTGAATAGGCTTCAGCAGTTTCCAGATTAAGATGGACTGGGAAGAAAGCCTGGCGATCTACTTCCAGCAGTTAGTCAGTGACCATTGGAAGTTATCCAGCAGTCAGATCCGCAGCTGCTCATGGGGATGCTGCAGGCCTGGGCAGCATGTCATTCAGATGTGCATAAAGTGATCAGGAGTCGGGTCAGCTCCATGTAGCTAACACCAAGAAAAAAACACTGCCAGCTAGGGTTGTAAGATGCTTTCAATTATAAACCAAAACAGAAAACCAAACCCACTGCCATTGAGTCGATTCCAACTCACAACCTTTCCAAGGCTATAGATCTTTATGGAAGCTGATTGCCTCATCTTTCTCCTGTGCAGTGGCTGGTGGCTTTGTACTACTGGTCTTTTGGTTAGCAGCCAAATGCCTTAACCACTGAGCCACTAGAGATTAATTATAAGAGATGGTAAAGAAACAAGGGAGGGGAGATCCATCTTAGAATTAATGAGATAAAGGACCAAGAGGTGTGAATTCTGGCCCCCAGTGGTGTTTCTAACTAGCTGTGGGACCACAAGCAAGTCACTTTCTTTGCCTCAGGTTTCTGTACTAGTATGGTGAGGGTAATGCCTGGTCTGTCTACCTCATAGAATTATAGAAAAGCAAACTCACCGCTGTGGAGTCGGAGCCGACTCATAGCGACCCCTCCTTGGGTTTCCGAGGCAGTATCACTATGGAAGTAGATTGCCCAATCTTCCTTCTGAGGAGTGGCTGGTAGGTTTGAACCTTCTGGTTAACAGTCATATGCCTTAGGCACTACATCACCAGAGCTCCCCTATGCCACCAAAGTGAAGATGAAGTGTTATAAGGAAGATAAAGTTAGGGCAAAGTCAAGGGTATTTATTCCATTGAAATTAACTCTCAGATCTGATTAGACAATTTAGAATATTTTCTGAGGTTTGTTGTCAGCTTTAAAATACAGTTTAGTCAAAAACATTTGAAAGTATCACATTTTCATCTGCTAAATGGATTTCATTTAATCTGGAAATAGTGTTTTGTTATTGTACCTTTGGAATTAAAAAGAAAATAGAAAGATAGTATAACCCTGATGTTCTCATCGTCCAGAATTAACAAGTGTTAACATTCTGCAAGTACTATGATCCTTTTGAAAAAGCTTATTATGAAATATTTATGACATAAAGAAGGTAAAGTAATAGAATAGTGAGCATGAGTATATGTCCCATTGTCAATACAGGTGAGCTGCCTCTGCAGGAACAGTAAGTTACATTTATACAGCATCCTGTCTTCACAGTGGCCTAGTAAGACAGAATACTGGTTCTCTTGTTATAGTCTTGAAAACTGTAAGTAAGCAAGTTAGCTTCATCAGGTGGATTTTTTATCCTAGAACACAGTGGAGAGGGCTAAGGCGACTTTGTGCTGAAGTTGCTTGATCTGAGTTTGCTCAAAATTCTACCTGCTGCTTTGGAGATTCAGCTGTGGGAATTTGAAATAGGACTTCTGTGAAATTGTGGTAATGGCTAGCCTGTTCCATGCCAGAGATTGTGCCTGGGCAATTTTTGTGTATATTCTTTGTTTCACAATAATTCTGGGTAAAAAACTCAACACATCCACTGCCTTAGAGTCGGATCTGACTCACAGTGACCCCTCCTTGGGTTTCCGAGGCAGTATCACTAAGGAAGTAGATTGCCCACCTTCCTTGTGAGGAGTGGCTGGTGGATTTGAACTGCCAGCCTCTACTTAGTAGTGAAATGCTTTAGGCACTACGCCACTAGAGCTCCTATAATTCTGGGTAGATGGTCTCATTTTATAGATTTGGAAAGTGTGGCTTGGAGAAGTTAACTTGTCCAAAATCCCATAGTTACTGTATTTTTGCATATAACGCACCCACCTGAATAGCATGCACATGCATATAACATGCATTGTGTGCATAGGAAACTAATGTGTGAGAAAGATGCATGGTTTGTAAAAAACTGTATAATACCTATGTTATTTGTATAAAAATATGGTATTAAATTGTGGTGCTAATGATTTTAATCATGGTGGGACTTATACCACAGCCCCATATTCTGTATAGCATGCTGCATTTATCCTTGGCAGTAATCATGGTTCTTCTTCTTCTTCTTTTTTTTTTTTTGTAGGCAAAATCCAGAGAGTACATTTGAAGTGTATGTTGAAGTGGCCTATCCTAGGACAGGTGGCAATCTTTCAGGTACTTGGATGTTTGATAATGACATGATGTTTATCATATGAGGTAGTATGTGAAATTTTAAACTGTTATTTATCTTTAAGTATGTTTAAGTACTTTGCCCTTTTAATCATGCCCATATCATTCTAGGAATAATGGAGGATAAAAGCACAGTGAACAATTTGAATTAATTGTTACTGCAATTATAGGCTTGAAGTATGACATTTTTCATTGTAAAAACTGGTTCTTGGTTTGCATCTTGAACAGATACCTAGGAGTCAGCTAACTATTTAGCATGAAATATTGTCACCTTGCTAATGATAAAGGCTTAGAATTAGGTTATAGGACACAGAATTATATAAAGGAAATTCTCTGCTGCTGAACTGGAAAGATGTTTGAAATAGAAGTAATTTAGCAATTTTTGTGTTCTCTAGTAGAAAAAGGTTAGAAATTAGTTAGAAGAAACACTTCCTTGGGCTTTAGCTTTTGGACTAGTTTGGACATGTATTCTTGTGTGATAAGTTCTCAGGATATGGTGTCCTGTGCAGGTTGAGTGTATCACTTTTTGACCTAAAATCCTTCGTTGAGAAGAATAAAACCTTGTGATCCAGTGTTCTTTTTCTTGGTGCCTAAGAGTGATGCATTTTGGCAAAGGACACATAAGGGAGTAGATCTTGGTCCACACACACAAACACCTATTTATATTATTGAGCATTTAGGGAGAGTGAATTTACTTGGGTTAGAAACTTGGTGTTCTGGTTACCTAGTGCCACTCTGACAGGAATATACCACAAAAGGGATGGCTGAACAAACGAGAGTTTATTCTCTTACAGTTTTAGAGGCTTTAAGTCCAAGTTCAAAGTGCCAGGCTCTAGGAGCTGTGTGAAAGCCCCTCAACTTTTTGGACTTTAGCTCTGCCTCTTGCTCCCAGCCCACTGAAGCTAGAGGCATCTCTTCACTCAGGAAGCTACTGGCTGCTGAGGCTAATAAGCCCAAGGTTGATAAATAAAATGACACAGTCCTGATGTTACCAAACCATACAGCAGGCCATTAATTCAAGTCCATTGAAAGTCCCAGTGTTGGCAGAGCATGGCAGGCTGCTGAACAACACAGCTACATGCAGGGTTCAAGTGTGCCATAAACTAGAGATTGTTCCCAAGACTTCTCCTTATATACAGGAAGCAGACCACATCCCTAGGGCTGCTACTCAGCTGTTCACAGTAGATTCAACCATGGAGTTGATTACCAGTCTCATCATGGGGAATACTACCACCAGCTGCCCAGTCACTCAACCAGGCCCAGCCAAGTTGACACACAAACATAAACACCACACTTGGAGTAATCAAGATTCCAATGGTAGTTCTGTTCTTGATTGACTGTACAACTTTGGACTTATTTCTTTTCATTTAGATTGTAATAATCATAAAATAGCTACCTTTTATCAAGTACCTACTATTCCATTGTCCTACATGCTTGACATATATGTTGTCAATTTTTACAGTACGACCTTTAAAGATAGTTGGGGTGGCATCCTATGAAATACCATATATCTCATATATGCCATATATCATATATACCTATGAGAAAATAGTTTCAGAGGAATTAAATAAGTTACCAAGATCATACAGCTGCTATGTGGGATAGCCTGGATTTTTTGTTGCAAGTTCTTGCCACTCTATTAAGTTGCCTTCTTGAGGGCAGCGACCATGTTGTATATCTCTCTTCATGTCTTCTGCAGGGCTTTGCATCACTGCTCATTATTTGTTAAATAAATTAATTTTCCTTAATAGCAAAAGTGAAATAACCATGTGTGTTCTACCTTTTGGATTATCTAATGAAGGCCATGAAACATTGCATGTTGTCATTCTGGAGATGGAATGTTAACATTTATATTAAGGTATGTCTCTTACTGTATGTGAAGACCACTGGGTGAGGAAGAGAGGTGTCTGTTACCAGGCATGTGCGTGCAGCAACATCTCTATGGACCTGTTTACAAAGTAACCATATGATGACAGCTGTGATTTGACAGGTAAATTCAAGGACCAAGTTAAGGATAGTTTGTTTCTACAGTTACACTAAGATATTTTGCCTTCCAATGTCCTCTTCTTAGATTCACCCGTTGTTACTATTAGCCACTTTTGCTTTATCACTCTACATACAAACTACTTTTGCCGAACCATTTAAGATTAAGTTGCAGACATTACAGCCTTTTACCCCTAAATTCTCCTGAGAATAAGAACATTCTCTTACATAACCATAGCATAGTTACCAAAATTGGAAAATTTAAAATTTATATAAGGAGCATCGTCCATATTTAAATTTAATTCCTTGTTCCAAATATTGTCCCCTCTGAACCAGAATCCAATCTAGGATCACAGTTGCATTTAGTTTTCATGTCTCTTTAGTTTCTTTCAGGCTGAAATAGTTTTGTAGACTTTCTTTGCCTTTTTTGACAAGAGTTTGAAGAATTACATGTGTTATTTTCTAGAAAGTTCTTGAACTTGGATTTGTCTGGTTATATCCTCATGATTAGTTTTTTTGTTGTTATTATGTGCCGTTGAGTCGGACCTGACTCATAGTGACCCCTCCTTGGGTTTCCAAGGTGGTATCACAATGGAAGTAGATTGCCCAACCTTCCTTCCGAGGAGTGGCTGGTGGGTTTGAACCACCAGCCTGCTGGTTAGCAGTTAAGTGCCTTAGGTTGTGAATTTTTGGTAGGTTATGTATTTCAAAAGTGATATGTGCTCATTAGTGCATCATATCAATAGGCACATGATGTTTGTCCTATTATATATGAAAAAAGGACATGAACTTACATGTATTTTGTTGTTGTTGTTATGTGCCGTCGAGTCGGCCCCGACTCATAGCGACCCCTCCTTGGGTTTCCGAGGCAGTATCACTACGGAAGTAGGATTGCCCAACCTTCCTTCCGAGGAGTGGCTGGTGGGTTTGAACCACCAGCCTTCTGGTTAGCAGTCAAGCGCCTTAGGCACTATGCTACCAGAGCTCCCACATGTATAGTTTAGCAAATAGTTTAGCAAATAGTTAAATAGTAACCACCTGTGTTTCTACTACTCAGGTTTAGAAATGTAATGCTGTCTAGGTTTAAAGGAATATGAGTGCTGACAAGAGGACCCCTGCCCTGGTCCTATGCTTTAGAAGGCCTTGCTTTGGTCCTCCTCTGACTGTGTGCCTTTCCATAGGGCAGAAAGTTTCCATGGGGCCTATGGGACATGCCACCTGAAGCCTGAATCCTACCATCCATCCTAGCCTGTGCTTTGAATACACAGGATCTCAGAATTCCTTTCCCAAATGGCCCTGAGCTTTTGGGGGTGATGAACATGTTTCCAAACTAGACAGTGGTGATGGTCGCATAATATTGTGAATATTCTAAATGCTACTGAATTGTAGACTTGAAAATGGTAAATTTTGCGTTATGTGTATTATACTACAATTAAATAAATAAATAAAAATGGTAGAGTTGGTTTGGCCAGCACCAAAGAGGTCACTCCTTCCCTTTTTCCAGAGGTAACTTTTATACTGGCTGCAAAAATGACAAGGAGGCCACATGTTCTGACCTCCTCTAACCCTACAAGGGGAAGGCAG